GTGTGTGTGTGTGTGTGTGTGTGTGTGTGTGTGTGTGTGTGTGTGTGTGTGTGTAGAGCAAACTAGTTCACCTTTCTAACTGGCCCACTTGGGTATAATGGCGAAGGGTTGGTAGTGGTGCCGATGCAAAGAGCAGCACCCTCTGTCTCCTGCCGTTTGTTACTGGTGTTGTCTTGTGCCAAGTGGGAGAGTGCACCCCCCCCTTTTTTGGGGGGGGAGACAACGACGACTAATTGAGAAACTAGTTGAGAAAGCACACTGGGTTCTTAGAATTAGTGCGGATCAGGAATAGTCATGTATGAAAAAGAGTAAATGGGAAGAAGTGATATATATATATATATATGAAAAGTATTTGCCCAAGGAATGCCAGGTTGTATGCCGGAGTGTCTGTTCAGCAGAGTCAACATAGGAGAGTAATGTTATGGGTAATTTTAATCTTTGGGATTAGTATATATCAGCTGCATCAGATTTGCTTACTACCCTAATTATATCCTATTATATTGGAATTTACATTCCTGGTGGGCACCCTGGTGAATGAAGGATGGGGGACTGAACGTGGCTGTTTGCAAAGAGCAACAGGCCTGGGATTTTTACACATAGTCGTTCATTTGTTCAGGCTATCTTGAGTACTGGCGGGCGATGATCTGAGTCACGTGGACTATCAGGTGGATAAACGAGCTGACATTGTAAACGAATTAATTTTGCTTGTTTTGAGACCGTTTATGTCTGTAGCACTTGCTGACCTGGAACTCCCTATGTAACTGGCGCTAAAATTGCTTGCACCACTACACCTGGCATACTGTAGCTTATTTTTAATAGTTTGGGGAGATGTTGTAGTATATCCTCACGTAAATTTATTGGATGAGCCAGTTCATATTTGCCTAGGTTCAGGCTCTGACTTTTTAAGATATGGGTAAAAATTACAAAATAAATAAAGCTGTGTTACTAGAGAGGAATCTTACTTTCTCATTCTGTTAAAATCCAGTGGTTGAGTCGGGCTGTGTTGGTGCACGCCTTTGATGCCAGCACTCAGAAACTAGAGGGAGGTGGAGTTTGAGCTAGAGGAGGTGAGTATGAGGCCAGCCTGGTCTACAGAGTGAGTTCCAAGACAGCCAGGGCTTTACAAAGAAACCCTGTCTCAAAAAACAAAACAAAACAAAACAAAACAAAAATCCAGTGGCTGTTTAGTTTAATATTTATAGCTTCCAGTTGCTTTGTCTTTTTTTAAGTGCACCTATTAATGAAAATCAAAGTGTATGTGCATATTTATGTGTGTGAATGTGTACCTCCACATATATATATCTAGAAAGTGATAACTTGCCGTACCAAAAACACTTATCTTTTAGTAAAGGCTTGCCATTTGTTATAATACACCTGAGAAACTGTAATACTGAGAATCATAATTCTCCATGCAATTAACTGACATTTAGAACATGTTCAACTTTGCTGTGCTTCAGTGTCCGTACCTATACTATTAGAAAACCCTGTGCTTTCACAGGTTTGGTTGTGAGTCTACACTGAGTTAATAGTAAGGAAGTTGGACTGGGGCTGCAGCACGGTTGGTAGAGGGCTCAGCCAGCATGCATGTGGCCCCAGACTTTATTCCCCAGCACCACATAAAAGCTGGCCCATGCTCATTTAGGAGTTGGAGATAGGAAAACTAGATGTTCAGAGTTGTCTGCAGCTACATACTGAGTTTGAGGCCAACCTAGGGTACTCATGACCTTGTTTCAAAAAAAAAAAATTATGAGAAATTGCTTTAAACAGATTAAAAGGATTATGTTTCTGTGGGATAGTAATGCTTTATCTGCAAATCTCATGGTGTAGTTAGAAAAAAATGAATTCACATTACAACTTATCAGAATATACCTGTTGCTAATGTATTTATGTAGCTGTGATTCTCCCATGAATTCTAAAGAAGAGTATATTGCCTGCCATGGTAATTGTAACACTACCTGCAGATCTCTGTGATTTTGAGGCCGGATTGATGTATATAGTGAGTTCCAGAGAGAAGAAGGAAGAGGAGATGAGGAGTAGATAATACATACTTTTAAGTGAATATCTTGTATTTAAAAAAGTAAAACTTGGGACTGGATAGCTGGCGCTGTGTTTGCAGGAGACCCAGGCTTGGTTTCCAGAACTCCGCAGTTCACTGCTTTGGTAACTCCAGTTCTAGGGGAACTGATGCCCTTTTGTCCTCTAAAGGCACCAGTCAAGCATGTGGTATGCATACATACATATAGGCAAACATTTATGCATATACAATGAAAACAAATAAATACATAGTAAACTGAAAATGTTGGATTTGTCCACAAGATGAAGAAAAGAAAATGCTGGAAGTTAACTTGTTTCTTTGAATTTAATTGAATAGAAGTTTGTTCCAGGACCAGGCAAGTTTAGAGCACTCCAGTTTTTAAAGAATTTAATATTTACTTATACATTTACTCATTTTTGTGAAATGATGTAATCTTAGCCATTGTCTCATTTTAGAAATCAAAGGCTTTGGATAGGCCAGCGATTGATGTAGGTGAATATCAGCCTATTTGTTATTTATTTGGGTCTCTCTCTTCTCGGTGTTTGTGTTTCATTACTTATTTTGAATTACATCTATCTATCTCAGTTGTAATTTCATTTTTTTAAAATTTTTTGATTTTTATTATTAGTTACATTTTATTAACTCTGTATCCCAGCTATATCCCGCTCCCTCATTCCCTCCCAATCCTACCCTCCCTCTCTCATCTCCTCCCTGCCCTTTTCCAAGTCCACTGCTTGGGGAGGACCTCCTCCCCTTTCATCTGACCTTGTTTTATCAGGTATCTTCGGGACTGGCTGCAAAGTGTAATTTCATATTTTTATTGATATTAGAAATGTTACTGTTTTTATATATTTAGTTACCCTCGTCTGTTTTTTTTTCCTTATTAAAAATACATTTATTAATTTATTGTGAGTATGTATGCCCATGGCATGTTTGGGGAGGTCAGAGGATAGCTTTCAGGAGTCAGTTCTAGCACCCTGGTAGGTAGCCTTGATGACAAGTACCTTTACCTGCTAAGCCATCTCACCAGCTCTGTTACCTATTTAGTGTGAGATGGTATATGTTGCCTAGGCTGGCTGCCTAGACCTGAACTCAGGTGATTCTTATGTTACAGCTTCCAAGTAGCTGGAACTACAGTACCATAGCACCTGGCTTCATCTGTTCTTTTAGTTCACACATATTTTATTAGAGTATGGTTTAAAAGCAAGGAATAAAGGTTGATCAGAATTTATTATGAACATATTTAAAGATCAGAAGCTTGTGTATTTTTACTTGTTCAACTACTATGAAGTACTTTTTATGTTAAATGCTATCAAGGCATAAATAAGAGCTTTTATTTTATTATTTTTATAGTTTAAATGAATTATAGATACAAGTAACTCAGTTGTCAGTGTAATTGATATTTTGTTCTTGTATTTGAGGATACAAAAAGTAATTTTGATGGTTAAGAGGACATTTCTTTATCAGGACTCCTTAGGAATGTTGAAAAACTGAAAAACTGCTGCAGTGTAGCAGTAACTGTGGATCATCTGTCTTTTATTTTGGTATTTTGTGGTCTTGGTTTTTTTTCCCTTCTTGAACACTTATTCTATTCTTCAGCCATTTTTGCTACCCGAGAAGTGGTTAAAAAATTATTTAGGATTAGCCAGGTGGTGGTGTCACATTGCATGCCTATTTGGGAGGCAGGCTGGTAGATCTTTTGAGTTTGAGGCCTGAGTTCAAGCCTAGTGTACAGAGTGAGTGTCAGGACAGCCAGGGCTACTCAGAGAAACCCTGACTTGAAAAACAACAAACAAACAAGAAAGTTACTTTGATAGTTTTCAGATACAACCTTTTCCCTCCACCCACTTGCATTTGAAAGTCAGAGACATAACAAAGACACTGAGTGTGTGTGTATAGTTCAGTTAAATTCCATATTGCTGTTAACTTTCATTTAGCTGTGCTCTCAGAAACAAATTAAATTGGTTAAAATAAATTGCTTACAATTTGTAAAATTGTAGAATGTAGAGGCATATATAGATCTAATCTTGGTTTATATTTGAATATTTTGAGAGTATGAATAACTGCTAATTAAATGACCTGCCTAAGTTGCAGAAACAAGTCATCTTTCTGACATCTGGAATGTTGTTCATTATATATACCATATTATACATGGAACAGTTCAGTTTGATGGTGGATTCTTATTTAAAATTTGGAGTGGCTGAAAAGGAGCATTCACTTCAGATATTCAGTGTGGTTGTTGAATTTAAAATACTTTATAACATTAAATTCTTGCATTGAATAATACAATTAATGTTACTTAAGTTTGTCTTTGTTTTGATGAACATTTTATTTTATTTTTATATTTTTTGTTTCTTTGAGACAGTTTCACTGTGTACCCTTGGCTGTCTTGGAACTCACTCTGTAGACCAGGCTGTCTTCAAACTCACGGAGATCCACCTGCCTCTGCTTGTTTCTTCCAGAGTGCTGAGACTAAGAGGTGTGCACCACCATGACTGTATCACTCTCTTTATGTTAAAGTCTTTACAGAAATAACACTGAGGCATGCATATTTACTTACTTAGGATATCTGAGCTATTAAATCTACCTATTTTGCATCTTGTTATGAGTTTTTCCAGATTGGATATGGTGGCTCATTATGTAATCCTGTGTAGGGAGAAGCAGGAGGATCATAGCAAATTCAAATTAGTCAGCTCCACATAATGAGTTCTAGGCCAGGCGGGACTATGAAGG